CCTCCTCCTCCTCCCTTTTCCTCTTCCTCCTCCTTCTCCCCCTCCTCTTCCTTTTCTTCTTCCTCCTCCTCCTCCATCGTCATCATCACTTCTGCCCTGCTCCTCTTCTCCTACCTCGTCCCCTTAGTATTTGTCCTCTTCTTCCTCTTCTTTGTTGTTTTTCATCTTCTTCCTCCTTCTCCTCCTCTTCTTCTTCTTCCTCCTCCTCCTCATCATCATCATCATCATTTTCATCATCTTCGTCGTTTCCATCGTAATCCTTCTTTTTTCTTATCAACTTTCTTTATAGTTTTTTTTCACATCTTAATTTTTTTTTCTTATCACCATTTTCCTCCTTCTCCTCCTTCTTACCATCATCATCTGCTTCTTCTTCTTCGTCTTTTTTCATCATCGTCATCATCATCATCATATTTTCTTTATCTTTTCTTCTTCATCGTTATCACTATCAATATTTTTACCTTTTTTTTTCGTTTTTCCATTCATTATCATCGTCATTATCTTTTTATTATCAACATCATTATTACCATTATCATTATTACTATTACTAATATTATCACCATCATAATTTTCACTTCTTAATTTCTTCTTTTTCATTAACATCATTACCATCATTATCATCAACATCCTTATCATCCTCATTATCATCAATATCACCATCAGCATCATAATTATCGTTATCATTATCAATATCATCATCATCATCGTATTATTATTACCATCATTATTATTCACTTCTTATTTCTTTCATTAGCATCATCATCATCATCTTCATCGAATTTTCTTCCTTTTTGTCTTATGCTCTTCCCTTTCTCTTCCTATCCGTATTTTTCTTTCTTCTTCTTCTTCTTCCTTCTCTTCTTCTTTCTTCTCCTCCTCTTCTTCTTCTTCTCCTCCTCTTCCTCCTCCTCCTCCTCCTCTTCAACAGCAGCAAAAATAAACAACAGTTACTATAATAATCATAATGATCATAATAAGAATGATACTTAAGATAACACACAATAACGAAAGAAAACAGAAAAGAAGAGAAAAAAACAGATTAAATTTCTCCCCCATCCTCTTTCCTCCTCTCCCCCCCCCACCAAACCCCCACTCTCCCTACCGTGCTCCATTCCCCCACTTTTTTATACCCCCCCCTCGTCCCTCCTTCCTCCCTCTCCCCCACCCACCCTCCCCCTCTCGCAACCTCCGTACCACCTTCCTTGTTGCAACACTAAATGCAACTTGTTATGCAACAGAGTTCTCCTGCAGTTCTTCCGCCATTCCCCCCTCCTTCCTTCCCTCCCCCTCCTCTTTCCGTTTCCCCTCACTTTTCACCCTTATCCTTCTGTCTTTTATAATCCCTCTCTTCTCAGATTTCACTTTCCCTCTCTCTTTTCTTCTCTTTCTCATCTCTCCTCCATTTTTTTTTTTTTATCCCATTTCCTCTCCTTTTTTACCGTCTTTCCCTCTCTCCTTTTCTTTCCTTTCTCTCTCCCTCCTCTTTTCCTGTCTTTTCTCTTTGCACCATCCTTCACGCCCGTTACTTTTTCTATTTTCACCTATTCTTTCCTCCCTCTTTCCGTTCCCTTATTCCCAGCTTCTTGTCCATCTCTATTTGTTCTCCTCCCCTTCCACGGTATTCTCCCGCCATTTACATCTTGTTTTCTCTCTCTTTTTCCCCTTTTCTTTCCTCTCCTTTACTCCCCACTCTCCCTTTCCCTTTTTTACCCTGTCCTTTCCACCCCTTTCCTTCTCTTTTGTTTTCCGCTCTCCCCCTTCCTTTCTCCCACATTCTTTATTTCAGTATCTCTTCTCCTCCACCCCCTCCCCTTTCCCCTCCACCCCTCTAACTGCTGTTTCTTCTCCGTTTTTTTCTTTTCCTTTTTTTTTGTTCCGGGATTGCCTAAGTAAATATGTAATTATCTCTCTCTTATCTCCTCTCTCTCTCTCTCTCTCTCTCTCTCTCTCTCTCTATATATATATATATATATATATATATATATATATTATAATATATATATATATATACATACATACATTCACACACAACACACACACACACACACACACACACACACATATATATATATATATATATATATATATATATATATATATATATATATATATATATATAATCAAATTGTCTATAAATGAGTAAATCACTATTAGTATATAAGATAATGACTATGATGATAATGTTGTAATAATGATTGTAAAAAGATCCAGCAACGTTTGATGAAGATAATTATGGCAATTGTTATAATAAAACGATATGCAATGTACTGATTATAGAGGTAATTATTATAAAGATAATAATGCTCACAGTTACAATAGTTTAACTAATCAAATGAACTTAATGATAATACTGGGAAAAATAATGACATTGATGATGATGTTGATTGATGATACTAATGATAAGGATGATAATAATGCTGATGATGATTATAACAACAACGGTAATAATAATTATAATAATAATAATAATAATAATGATAATAATAACAATAATAATAATAACAATAATAATAATGACAATGATAATAATCTTAAAAATAACAATAATGATGATAATAATAATCATAACAACACTTATTATTATCATTATTATATTACTACTAATAACAATAATAACTAAATCACTCAGGTAATAGGATGACAATGAAAATTCAGGCCCAAAACGTTAAAAAAAGTAAAAAAAAAAAAATAATCCGCCCCGTGGCGAAGCCGATAGGGGTAACTGATGCAATAATTTTTTAAAAATTCCTGGATTTCGGCTCAACTCCCGAAATTCAATGGCATCTACACTGGACTAAGAAAGGCCTCTGATAAAAAAATATATTCGTATTTATTTAGTTATCATGCAAACCAACAAACTAAAAACAAAATAACTAACCAACACTATCAAAAGCATACCCTCCTTGGCGGAAGTAATAATAACAATAACAATAGTAATGGCAATGATAATAGCAATGCTAATGATGCTACTCCTAGTATGAATACTATTACTCCTGTTAATAATAATCAGAATATCATCAATTAAAAGGATAATGATGATCATGATAATATGAATAATAACAATGATAGTTATGATAGTAATACTAATAATAGTAGTAATAATAATAATAATGATGATGATAATGATAATGATAATAATAATAATGATAATGATAATAATAATGATAATAATCATAATGATGATGATGATAATGATAATAATAATATTGATAATAATGATTATGATTATAACAATAATGATAAGGATAATAATATTGTTGACGATGATAGTAATGATAGTATAATAACAATAATAACAGTGATGTAGTAGTTGCAGTTGCAATAGAAATAACTAACACCACGGTAACGGGGTCACTGATCCAGTAAAGAATCAAATCGCATTGGAATCCCCTATTTCTCGAGTGCACTGAGGGCGTCCGTGTCTCTCTATCGCCCAATGCTACTGAATCCCTTAAAAAAATAAAAAAACCCTGGACCCGATCACCACCAAAATCTAAAGACCCCTAAGTTGGCAACAGCGCACACCTCTGGTAGAAAATAAAAATCTGTTCATAATTTTTTGAGTTATCCTGCTAACCAACGATACCGTTAAATATAACCGAAAATAAATGATGATAATGATAAAAAAGATAACGGTAATAGTAATGTTAAGAATAATGATAATGATGGTGATGATGATAATAGCAATGATAATAAGGATGATAATGATAATGGCAATAATAATGATGATGATAATAGTAATGATAATAATAGTAATGATAATAATAATAATAATTATTATTATTATGATGCTACTACTACTACTACTACAACTAATGATGCTGGTAATAATAATAATAATGATAATAATAATAATAATAATGATAATAATAATAATAATAATAATAATAATAATAGTAATAATAATAATAATAAAGGTAATAGTGACAATAATAGCAATATTAATAATGATAATAATGATAATAATAATAATTATTATGATAATAAAAATGATAAAAAAATCTACCACTACTACTTGAAATAATGATGATAATAGTACCAATGATAAGGATAATGATAACAGTAAATGAAAAAAATATAGCAACAACAACAAAAATAAAACAATACTAATGCTGCTGCTGATGATGATATTAATAATAATTATCAAGATATTAATAGCGGTAAAAATACTAGTAATAACATTGATACTCAAAATCATAATGATGATACTGTTTTATATGAGGATGGGGATATGACGGTGATAATGAGAAAAAATATACAAATAATACTGATAAAAAATAACGATATCAAAGACTAGCATGAGTAGCAACAGCAATGGAATGTAATGATGATGATGATGATGATGATGATAAGTATGACAAGAGTAATAAGGACTACCATACTGATGACAACAAGAATTATGAAATTATTGCAGTTGTGTCCTATCCCCATTTCACGTAGCTATCAAGTACTGGTAAATAAATATATAATAAGTATGATAATAACAATAACAATGGTAGATAATATAATGTTCCAAAAATAATCCATAAAAATAACCATCTATTTGAAACATCTTTTTCTCAAACATTTGTTCCTGAGCATTACATTATTAACCGTACGTGAAGCGATATCCCCATCTCGAGGTGAACATACCCTCCTACGATGTATATAACCAGTTCACAGGAAGGATAAGCACTGGACTAGTATTGCTAACCGAAGTAGAGTGATTTATAGCGGTAGGATAGGCATTAAAAGGAGAGAGATGGCGCCGGCAGCATTGCGCAATCCTCGCCGTATTTTGTCGAGATTGTCATCGCTCTAAAACTTTTATGCTCGTGCGAAAGTGATTTCATTCTTGTGCCCAAATAAGGGAAAATAATTTTGTAAAAATGAAATTAAGAGGTCACCTCGCAATCATATGAAATTATTTCCATAATAAATTCACTCGACGTCAAGCTACTCTGACGTCCGATCCTGCAGTATAAAAACTAATGTCAACAAATTTCCCGTCTCACTCTCGTTCCTGTATCCCGATACTATATAGAGCTCAACCCCAGACCCGTCGAGGTGCGCAGGCCGTCCTCATGGCTAACCCACGCCACGAAGCCGTCAAGAACGACCTGCTGGAGGCCGTCAAGAGCCGCGAGAGTGGCGCCTACCTGGACGAGATCGACTCCTTCCTCAAGCAAAAGAAGAAGTACTGCGCCGACGACGTCAACCTCGCCCACCAGATCCTCGACGTGTGTCTGGTCAGCGACATCTTCGAGAAGGAGCTGGACGACGTGAACGGCCGCCTCAAGGAGAAGTACACGCTGAGCAACGAGGGCGCCGAGCTCAGGGTCAAGACGAAGAAGAAGACGACGGTGAAGAAGGGGAAGGCGAAGCGCTACAAGAAAGTTCCGGCCGACAAGGAGTAGGCCTAGAGACGGCGCGGCGGATGTCCGTAAGTTCATTTCGTTTCCCTGTCAGAACGACCCTGTGATCGGAACTAGGCAAAGACCTTGTTAAGTCAATTCGAATACATATTTTTTCTCTTTGATTTTCGTCTCTTCACCCTTGGTGGTCTGTGGACTTAATTCTGATTTAAGTATTTGCCTACTATCCTTTAGCTTTATTTTTGTTTTATTAGCTATTATTTTTACTGTTCATCGTTTTCCCTCTCTTTCATCACGTTCATTTCGTTCCATCTTATTTATTTCTTGTGTATTATATTTCTTTTGTCGCTATTTAATGTAAATGACATATTTAGATAGAGTGCAACTCAACAGAGAGCGACTGTATTTTTTTTTCATTATTTTTGACTAAACATTTAATTCCAAGACTCAGACGAACACAAACTTTCCTTACAAAACGTGAAAATCTTTTCGTATGATTTCTGTTCGTCTCTTGGTTTAGTAATTCTTCTCTCGCTTTATCTTTCTCTTGCAGATAATTGGTGTTCAGTTGAAGGAGCAGCCCTTCGGTATTCAAGGACGACCTTCCATGGATGGGCCTCGAGACGGGAAAGTCTTCAGCAGGATAAGGACCTCCTCGCACCAAGGGTCGGCGTAGGAGCAGCGGAGAGCCAGGGTGCTTCGTCCAAGAACTGATCATGGATTTAGTGACATCCGTGCTGTGATGTTTTGGCGCGGGAGAAACTGTGGGGGTGTTCTTTCTTGTCTTTTTTTTTCTTTTTTTTTTCTCCATGTCTCTCTCTCTGTCTCTTTCTCCTTCTATTTCTGGTTCTCCCCCCCTCCTCTCTCTCTCTCGCTTTCTATTTCTCCCCCTCCCTCCCTCCCCCCTCCCCCTTCCCCTCTCTCAAGTTATGTTTGTCAGTCATCTGCATTTTTCTCTTTCATGTTCTTTACCACATCGGCCGTAAAATGTTTTTCTCATATATTTGTCTGCCATAGTATTAATGTTCTGTCTATCTCGTGTCCGCCTTTATTTCTCGTTATTTTCCTTTTTCTTCGCCATCTCCCCTATTTTATTCTTTCATATTTCCTCTCTCTTCTCTTCGTTTCCTCTGTCTTTCTCTCCCGTATCGTCATATACTTTTTTACATTCTCACTCGTTAACCTTGTTTGTTAATCGTCTTTTTTCTCCCTCTCACTTTCTTTCCATCTTCCCTTCCTCTCCTCCCAAATACATGTCACTTATTTTATGGAAAGTGAAGTGGATATAGGCATTAAACAATATATTTATTCAGCGAATGCAAAGAGTGGAACTATCTATACAAGAAAAATTACAGGTTAAGAGTGAAAATAAGTGAAAGGGGAAAAAATAGATCTTTAGAATATATAAAGATTATTGGTCATTAGTTTAATTGCAGTGAAGAATAATGGACAGTTCGCAAAATTAAAAAGTTTTCAATTAGGGTATCGGATATTTGAAGTTTTCGTTTATTGGTAATTCATTGCAAGGGATAACTAAAAAAAAAAAAAGTTAATTGACAACCTAATAGAGTCACGATCCCTTGTGTAAATATGCTCCAATATACTCTCTGTATTTTATTACGGGACATTATGTATTTTCACGCATATGTCGACATCTGTTTTCATGCAAGGAAGGCGACAAAACACACTGCCGTGCTGATACAATTGCAGAAATCTCCAATGTACGGTGAATATTGAAAAATGTTGTTCAAGAAACGGAGTGCGCGGATTTTTCTACCAAGTTTGATGTTATATTTTAGACATACTTTCGATTTATTCTTTTTACTTTTCATCGGATTTATTATTGTTATTACTGTTATTACCAATATTATGATTATTATTGTTACCATTATTATTATTATTATTATTATTATTATATTTTTTTTTTGTGAACTGCGTGTCAAATGTAATATTTGTGTGTTGATTTGTATTAATTACTTTGATAAATTCAATTTGGTGACGTAAACCTGCGTTCTTAAAATAAAAAGAAATGGAATCGCAAGAACACAATTATATCACGATTAGCTTTTAATTATTTTCATTGTCAACTCGCCTTTTTTCTTCTCTTTATATTGACTGATTTTTTTTTTTTTTTTTTTGACTCCAGGAT